ACATGTGCCCACACCCAAGAGCCTGCACCAGCCTGGCCAGGTGCCAGGGAGTCAGATGTAACCCCAAAGACAGCTCTCCCCCCACCCCCAAGAAACCTTGGCCTGAGTCTCTTAAAACCCTCCATCAAGTGGCAAGAGATGGTGAGGGTGTGGCGGATCTTGATGATCTCTGGACTGTCCTGGGAGGCACACGGCACCTGTTCTCTCTGAGTGCAGACAGGGGCCCATGATCAAGGGGCACTGGACCAAGTGATTCTCCTGTGTCAGTCACTCAGGGACACACAGGCTGTTCATGTGCCCCTCCCTCATCAGCCACACAGCCTGTCATTCACCAAGTCCCAGAATCAGGCACTTGGCTAAGCACACCGGGCATGACACAAAAAGCCCCAGAATCGGCTGCACAGAGCAGGTGACACACATGTGCACATGTGGCCTGTGAACAACGGAATAAAAAAGTACTGTGTCACCCAGGAAGAGGGCTCGTCCTTCCCTTGTCAGGATGGGCTCCCTGGTGGAAGAATCTTCCAGCTGAGACCCAAGGACAGGGAAGGTGAGGACCAAGGATATTTGCTGATGGCTGGGATGGGGGAAGGGTCCAGGCAGGAGGTGCAGGGGGAAGAGAGTAGCACATTCGGGGAACAGAACAGCACAAGGCTGAAGTGCTGGTGAAAAGCCCCAGAAAAAGAACTACGTCAAGAGGCTGGGTCAGGGAGGAGAGGCTGGAGAGATGGGTAAGTTGTTAAAGTGTTCATCTTGTAAGCCTGGGGACCTGTGTGCCATCCCAGCGCCCATGGAAAAATCGATAATGGTACCCAGCACCGGAAAGCCTTGGCATGATGAGACAGACAAGCATAGTCCTAGGGCTTGATGGCTGGTGCCTACCCTAATCAGTGGGCTCCATGTCCCAGTAAGAGACTCGATCTCAAAAATAAGGTGGGCAGAGGAACACCAACTGAGGTTGACCTTTGACCTCCATGTGTGTGTGCACATTCATGCATGTATATACTTGCACATAAACATTAAATAAAAGGGTCACCTATGGCAGACACTCAGGTCGTCCTGCCCAGAAGAGTGGCTGTGGGGAGAGAAGGAGACAACTGGCAGGGTGAGGTGACCCCGTGAACTCTTTGGTGCTAACAACTGTGGACAGGCCATAATCAGAGAGGAAGAGGGACTGGGTCAGCCTGGGGACCAGGGCAAAGGCAGACGACTAAAGGAGATGACCCTATAGGAGATTTCTTACTAGGGAGGGTGGCTTGTCCCCAACTGTCACTAGTGATACAGTTGAGAAATGACAGAGTTAAAGAACTGAGAGGCAGGGAAATTTTGGAGCAGAGCAGCAGGGAAATCTCAAGCACCACAGACACAGATCGGCAGCAGAGGGACAGCCCTCACTGGGGTGAGGCACTGAGCACGCAGCCAACACGTGGAGAAAAGGGCTCTGCATAGCAAAGGGAAAACTTGGAAAGCCCAAACTCCAGTCTCTTCCCGAGGCCTGCAGGGTTTACTGCCTCTGAAGGCTTCTCTTCCTCTATGGAGGAGTGAAGAAAGCTAGTTCAGTTGGTTAGTTCAGAACTGCCATACTGATCCAGACTCAAAGCTTGTCCGTCAGCAGGGGGCCGAGTGGTCCAGCCTCAGAACTTGTCCATCAGCAGGGGGCCAAGTGGTGGGAGGCAAAAGCTGCCAGGCATTCATCTCAAGTCAGGAGCTTGAGGAAGAAGATGGCCTTCTCGAACAGTCTTCACTTTTCTTACCTTGCCACGGCCCCTCTCCCTATCTGTCTGCCTACCAGGGAGTCTGTATAGCTCTTGCTGTCTCACCAGGGTGACTCAAACCTCAGGTATGGCTGGGGAAGTACACAAACTTATGTATACACGGAGATGCACACATATCCGCGCACACACACACACACACACACACACACACACACACACGAGAGACAGACAGACAGACAGACAGATGGACGGACGGACAGGCAGGCAAGCAGGTCCAGGCTGGGCTCTGGTATGGTCACCTGGTCGAACACATCCCCATTCCTGCCTGCTCCCCCACAATCCTAGGGCCAAGGTAGGACTGGTCCCCATGCACCAGGCTGGAAGACCTACGAAACAGAGATGGTCCTACTGCCCCAGGAAGAGTGTGCCTCAGTGGGGAGACAGGCCACTTGGGAAAGACAAAACCTAGGGGCCCAGCTGTCACCTGGAGGGAGTTCTCAAGCCAGGGTCTATTCCCCTCCTCCCAGCTGCTTAAGGACTGACAGGGTGCTCCCTCAGGAAGGCCTTGCAGTCTCTGAGAGGGTTACAAGCAGGTGGCCCTTCTCTGCTCCTGCCATTGAAGGAAGGTGTCCTGCTCTTTTGTCCCCTCTCTCCCCTGAGAGCTCTCTTGGCTGCTCCCAGCCCATCCACCCCCCCTCTTCCCATGGAGGCTTCGCTCCCGCCCCCCATTTCCCAGCAGAAGCTGGAGCCAGACAATGAGATAAGGGCTTGTTTTCTAAGGACTGGAATTCGGGAATCAGGCAGAGCGTGTGGGTCAGGGCCAGAGCACCCTGCCATGGTGAAGCAGGGAGCCTTTCTCTTAGCTGGAGGTCCCTGGGGTCCCAGGCCTGACACACTTGACTTCTGCACACTTTTAGGATAGCTCTGCTAGGTGTTTGGGTGGTTCTGTCCTGATAGGTGGCCTCTGGGCTGCTTTCTCCTCCCACTTCTCCAGCCCCCTGGACTTCCAACAGGTACACCACCTTCCCGTGGCCCGTGCTGTCCCCTATGCAAGTCAGTCTCTCCTCCATCACCTGCCATCAAAGACTGATGCTTCTTCCAGGAAGCCTACTACTCTTTCCCAACAGGCCACCCACAGACACAGCAGGAGGAAGGCAAGCTGACAGAGAGGAGGCACAGTCAGCATCTGAGAGATGCCTTGTTAGACCAGGGCCTGTGCACCAATAGGCCCCACTCAGACCAGCTTGCTTCCAATAGACAACCATAGACAGATAACTGGGGCCCATGCTTTGGAAAGGGAAGCAGCTGAGCAGGGCTGAGTTTCCAGCCTCCCTGTATGAGGAAAGGTCACCCTTTGGTCCCGGTAAGTCAGAGCGAATCCCACAATAGAAGCACCAAGTTCCAGGGCCTTGCAGTTCCAATGTCAGGAAAAACAGCAGCGCTTCCCACGAGCCAGGCTGGACAAGCACAGCCTCCTATAGTGAGATGTCTCACCAGAGTTAGGGATCATGAGTACAACTCGTCTGCTGGCACACAGCTGGGAGTGGGCGAATTTTATTTACCTTGCTTTTTAATTTTAATTTTATCTTAACTTTAATCTTTTAAAACAGAGTCTCACTCTAGCGCAGACTGGCCTGAATGTCTCGGCCCACCCCCACACAGGAGTGGGATTACAGGCGTGTACCTCCATGCCTACATTTTGCAGTACTGGGGAATCAATCCAAGGGTCTCATACTTGGTAGGTAGGTGCTCTGTCACAGGACTCTTGGGCATGACTTCCGCGGAAGCATCTTGTCTCTCAAAGCCAACGGTGTAGGAAGGAGAGGGATTTCTAAATACCCCTGCAACTCTGTTTTCCACATGTCCTAGGAGGTCACACCTCCAGCCCCAGTTGAAGACATTCTTATGCCGGTCGACTAGCACAGCGCTCTGTAAAACCATATTGAAAAGCTGGGCGTGGCGGCTCATTCCTGTAATCCCAGCACTCGGAAAGCTGCAGGAGGGTTGCTGCAGCAGAGAGACAGAATGAGTTCCAGGTTAGTATGGGCTATAGTGTGAGATTGTTTCAAAAACAAACAACCTCAAAAAAACAAGTACTAGAGAGATGGCGTGACATGGAGAAGCACATACCACTCTCGTGGGAGAACCTGTAACTCTAGCTCCAGGGTGTACAGCGCCCTCTTCTGGCCCCAGTAGGTACCTACACTCATGTGCATCTACTTCCCACCCCACACACATAATTTTAAAAGTTTTAAATTATTTTTTCCTCTTCTCTCCCCCCAACCCCCGTGTAGCCTTGATTGTCCTGGAACTCTGGCCTCAAATTCAGAGATCCACCTATCACTGCCTCCCCAGTGCTGGAATTAAAAGGGTGAGCCACCACTGCCCAGCTTTACGTACTTTTTTTTTTTTTTTCGAGACAGGGTTTCTCTGTGTAGCCCTGGCTGTCCTGGAACTCACTCTGTAGACCAGGCTGGCCTCGAACTCAGAAATCCACCTGCTTCTGCCTCCCAAGTGCTGGGATTAAAGGCGTGCGCCACCACCGCCCGGCTTTTGTTGTTGTTTTAAAGAAGGGAACTGGAGTTGTATCCCATTTGGTAGCATGCTTGCCTAGTTGAGTTCCCAGCACAGTGTAAACTGAACATGGTTGCACACACCTGAAATCTGAAGCAGGAGGGTCAGATATGCAAGGTCAACTAGGCTACCCAGTGAGTTCAGAACTAGCCTGGGATACATGGAACCCTGTTTCGCAAGAGAAAAATTAAAAAGACTCCATTGGTTGAAAGCTACTGTTTACGGGCAACATGGTACCATATATGATTCCTGGACTTCACATCAGCGGCTGCAGCCTATTTCCTCCAGTGTAAAACGAGGACCGTGAGGAACTGGAGAGATGGCTCACAGGTTAAGATGGTACTGATTACGAAGAGAACCTGAGTTCCATTCCCAAATACTCAAGTGGTTTCCTAGAGTGGCTGGGACGCGTAACTAAGTTAAATCTGCAGTGTCGCGAGAAATACCAGCCACATGCTAAAATCACCCGGACATCAGCTACAGTTTCCATTCAGCAAAGCAAGGAACTGTTATCCCAAAACCTCCTAGTCTGTGGAGCAACAGAAGACAAACTACAACGCCCAGCATGCTGTGGGGCTCGCCAAATGTATAAATTTCCAAAGAGGACTACAATTCCCATAGTGCCCCGGGCCTGCCCAGCTCAGGTCCGCGCGGGGTCAGAAGAGTCCAGCAGCACGGGTTCCCCGCTGGCACGGAAGAGACTGTCCACCGCTCCTGCGGGCGAGGAAGGCGAGTGCCACAGCCATGCTACGTAGCCTGGCCCGGGCCGCGGTCCTGGGGCTCAGGGTGCCCTGGGCTCAGTGGTCTAGGAATTGTGCAGGGGTCCCAGCCCATGTGGTGGACTTGCGCAGCGACACGGTAACCCGGCCAGGGCCGGCCATGAGGCGCGCCATGGCTGAAGCGGTTGTAGGAGACGATGATTACGGCGAAGACCCTACGGTCCACGGTGAGCCGGGCGAACAGACCCGGGGCAGGGGTCGTTGCCGTGACCCCGGGGCGCTGTCCATGGTTCTGACAGGACAGCACAGCCGCAGAGGGGTGCCTCGCCTGGCATTTGAGGACACACCCACAGGCTAAGTGCTGCACTCTGCGTTCTTGTTCGTTCTCGGGGAGATCCTTGGTAATGCCGACCTTTGAGCTCCACACTGAACTTGGGGAACCAGAATCTGCATTTTAACAGGACCACCGGGTAGTTTCTGTCCACTATCACCCAACTGCCCGGGTGGATGTTGTCCAGACTTGGCAAAGCAAGGCCCCCGAGATGGCCAGAGAGGAGCTCAAGGACCCAGGTCAGAAACAAGGAAGAACTAGGGTTTGAAGCAGGGTCTGACTGCAATGAGGCATACTACTGTCTTTTATCACAAAGACAAAACCAATCGAGCAAAGAAAGTGCTTGCTGCTCTTTCTTAGGGGGCAGGATTTCATAATCTAGGGAGTGCGTTAAGGAGACAGCAAACCAAACCCTACCCGGGGTCAATAGTCCCTGCTAAAGTGTGAGCACTAGAGCTCCAGAGATAAACCACAGATCACCACTTGACCCCTGAGGCCTGTTTGTGGGCCCAGGGGTTATTGGGGCTGGTCTAAAATCTCTCGACAACATGCTTTTACCAGGAACTTCAAAGATGCTGAGCTACGCTACTCGGCAGGCACCTGGTGTAAACAGGTCACCACATCAAGGCTGGGAGGTACTAGCCTTGACAGGAGTCTGAGAAGGGTGAACCAGAGGTTGGAAGGAGGAGAGAGCAGAACTAACAGTGAGTGGCAGCATCTCCGACTGCACTCAGGACTCGGAGACATCTATCGGTGTGGCTTTGTGTCCTCTAGGGACAGATCTAGATCTCTTCAGCACTGAGCATCCTGCCACAGACAGGAAAGTCACCATGGGCTTTACACAGGCCATTCACTCACCCACCAGCTGCACTCTTTGTGCCTGGCAGCTCCCCTGAGGCTCTTCTTCTGTGGTGATGTGTAGAGGAAGTCTGCAGGGAAACCACAAGGCCTCACCTGCTGGGGCTGCTGGGAAAGGAAGAAAAACAGGTGTGAGGTCTGGGTGGGAAAGGGGGTTCAAACCACAAGAGAGTTTCAGTGGCCTGGGGTGGGGACTGTGGCCCAGGAGGATTGACAGAGGGGCCTCTGGACATGGCACGTGGTTACCAAGGTCACAGACTACAGGGATGGCAGATGGGCTCCAAGCCCTGCCCACGGGACCATCAAATGTACTTTTTCAGAGAGAAGTGCTTAAGACAAGGTCTTGCTATGTAGCTCAGGCTACCCTCTAACTCAGTTATCCCCCTGCTCCAGCAGAGTTCTAGAATCACAGAACTATACCATCATACCCTGTAACAAGTGCACACGGAACTGTGCCAGGGTACAGTGGCCTGAGAGTAATTGTTGATTCTTGCCCTCCCCCTCCCCCTTCCATCTCAGAACTCCAGGAAAAGGCTGCAAAGATGCTTGGGGTGGAGAGGACTTTGTTTGTGCCCACCAACACCATGGCCAACCTCATCTCTGGTGAGCGTCTACCTGCCCCTCTGAGCTGGGGTCTGTGGCACTGGTGGGCACATGCCTAGATCTCTTTTGGGTGCAGCCATTGGAGCACCCCGCATTCAGTAGTGGGAGGAGTGGGGTCTGTGAGTCTCTGCCACTCCCTAGCTGTTCCTCCTGGAAGCTTATCTTGCAGCCCTGGCCTGGGTTCTTCTCCAGTGTGCTTCTGTCCTCGGTTTTCTGATATGGCCTGGCTGCTGTTGATACCCTGGGCTGCCTGTTCCTGGAATAGCATCCTGGCACTCTTCCCTGCTGGCTACGGGGGTCTGATGCAGGTTGTTAGTGTCAAACCAGCCCAGAATGGTGTCTTTTCAACACTTGGCAGTGAGGTGTTTTGAAGGGTGCTGATTTCCAATTGACAGAGGTAGTTTGAGTTCACTGGGGACCCTAGCTCAGCCTGGCCAAGCTGACCAGGGGCAGAGAGATCCTCTGGACCCAGTTTCAAGTCCTGCCCTCCTCCCATCTGTCTCAGTGATGGGTCACTGCCGGCGCCGGGGTTCCCAGGTCCTCCTTGGGCAGGAATGCCACCTCCACGTCTATGAGCTGGGCGGGGTGGCTCAGGTAAGGACCAGACAACAAACCCCTGGGGTTTTGGACATTCTCCAGCCAGCTAGGACGTTAAGGTAGGTCCCTGTTTCCCAGGTACCAGACTGGAACCGGCAGAGGGGAGAAAGGGAGATGGAAGGGAAGGCCTGGGCCCAGATTTGTTCCTCTGCCGCGGTGCCTTACTGCCCCCTAGTGGACAGATGGAGCACTAGCACTCCAGAAGGAAGCCAAAGTGCCCCGACTGAACAGAAAAGCAGGAAGGAACCAGCAAGCCTTCCCAGTTCGGATGCTGTGTATATACCTGCTCAGAAGAGAGACCCTGGGTTCCAGAGGTGGCTCCTACTGCAGAGGAACCCTCCTACCCGGATGTGCCACCGGACCCATCTGATCCAGTGTCCTCTCCCATCTGCAGATCGCTGGGGTGCACTCCCACCCCCTCCCCGACCTGCCCCACGGCACCTTGGACTTGAATGAGCTAGAGAGGGCACTCACCCGGGGCTTTGGGAGCAACTACCATCCAGTCTGTGAGCTCGTGTGCCTGGAGAACACGCACAGCAGCGCAGGAGGCCGAGTCCTCCCCATCGACTACCTCCGCCAGGTGTGCTCCCACACAGCTGGGCCCCGGTGCGCCAGTGCACTCTTGGTTTACTGTGTCTCCCGAACAGTCCCATCCCTAGGAAAATCCTCTCTCTGGCGGCCTGGAGAGATTGCTCAGTGGTTAAGAACAGTGCTCTAGCAGAGAATCTATCTGACTTTGGCTGGATCAAAAACTACCTGTAACTTTAGCTCTAGGGAATCCGGTAGCCTCTTCTGGCCTCCAAAGGCACTCCACCACACATGACGTACACCCCCACACATACACGTAAAGTAAAAATAAGACAAGTGGAGAGATGGCTCAGTGGTTAGCATCACTTGCTGCTCTTGCACAGGACCTGAATTATTTTCGCAGCACCCACACCAGGCAGCTCCCAACTGCCTGTCACTCCAGCTCCTGGGGAATCCAGTGCTTCTGGATTTATTTTTTTTAAACAATTTATTTGTTTTATGTGAGAACACTGTAGCTGATTCAGACACACCATAAGAGGTCACCAGATCCCATTACAGATGGTTGTGAGCCACCATGTGGTTGCTGGGAATTGAACTCAGAACCTCTGGAAGAGCAGGCAGTGCTCTTAACCACTGAGCCGTCTCTCCAGCCCGCTTCTGGATTTAATTTAAATTAAAAAAAAAAAAAGATTCCAAGCCCAGCAGCCTCTTGAACACTTCCTGACCTTTGCTTCCAGGTGCGCCTCCTGGCCCACGCCCACGGAGCAAGGGTCCATATAGATGGAGCTCGGTTGATGAATGCCTCGGTGGCTCTGCGTGTGCCCCCTGCCCGCCTCGTAGAGCACTGTGACTCTGTATCCTTCTGTTTCTCTAAGGTAGGCTGGCCTTCCCGAGCCTGCCAGATCTGCTCCGCTGGGCTGCAGAGGCTCCAGCCCTTACCCCTCCCCATCTCAAGGGCAGGCTTTGTGAAATAGGCTCTAGGACTCTCTCCTCTCTTTCCTTAGGGCCTAGGTGCACCAGTGGGGGCTCTGGTTGGGGGATCCAAGGACTTCATTGAAGAAGCATGGCGCCTCCGCAAGGTCCTGGGTGGAGGCATGCGCCAGGCTGGAGTGCTGGCTGCGGCTGCCCTGGTGGGACTGGCTGAGGCAGAGGAGGTGCTGTTAAGGGATCATGAGAATGCCCAGAGATTCGCTAAAGGTGCCTGGACCACCCCCCAACCCCCTCCGTTTTACTCCCTCCTAACTGGGCCTAGATGTTCCAGCAACAGGATCAGGTCCCCAGCAGATCCAAGAGTCTAGCTTCTAGGATGGGATCTGGGTCTTCTTGCCTCACCAGGCCCTACTCCACGGGGCACTCCACACCAGATGCAACCAGCAGAGTCAGGAACCAGGCCAGAGTGGAGCCCCCAACTTGGGTCTTTTGTGCATGTTCTAAATATTCATAATGATCCTGTGACGTTCCCACATCTGAAGCCCAGAGCAGTGGCTGATCTATTTAGTGTGACACACAGAGAAAAGCAAGATCCAACTCATATTTCCAAATGCCACATCAGGATTCAGGCTGTTTCCCCACAAGATAACTGGGGTACCCTTCTGCCTTCCCTGTGGGGTCATTTTGGCTGCGGCCCATGGTTGGGCCCTGGGGTTGGGATATACTCACCACCATGTCTGCCCCCAGGACTCCAAGACCTGGCGTCACCCATCTGCTCAGTGGATCCTGCCACAGTGGAGACCAACATGGTGCTGGTGCAGGTGGCTGGGCTGCCTCCCTCGGAGCTGTGCCAGCGCCTCCAGGCTGTGAGTGCTGAAGAGGTGGCTCAGACTGGCCATGCCGTGCGTGTGCTGCTGTATCCCTGGACAGAACAGTCCGTGCGGACAGTGTGGCACCGAGATGTGACTCCTCAGGACACGGAACTGGCACTGAAGAAATGGGAGTTTGTGCTGAGACAGCTGAGGTCCTGAGGCCAGGGGACCGGGGACCCTGTGGTACAACTGAAGTGGGCAGTGAGATGCCTCAAGCCGTTAGCCTGGTGAAGAAGGTTCATCCTCTCCGGAGGATGATGACGTCACCCAGCCTCTGGTTTGGTCCAGTAACTCTCCTGTGATGGCCTCTCATGCAGTCAGGAATAACCAGGCATAAAGTGGGAAAAGTTGTGACTGAATAGCCAGAGAACCGATAAGGAGCGAGGTCCTGGGGCTGGGTGGTGTAGCCTGGTTGCCTACTGTGCATAAGCCCTGGCTCAGTCCCCAGCACTGTGGGTTCGATCCCCAGCAGGTGTGTCAGATCACAGCTGCAATCCTAGCATGCTGGGGGATTAGAAGTTCAAGGTGACTCAGCTACAGAGAGTTTGGTGTAAGCCCGGGCTACATGAGACCCTGTCTTCAAGCAAACAGATCCTTAGTGACTGACACAATGGAATTACTAGAGATGGACTGTAAAATAAAATATCGAAGGCACTGTACTGGTTACTTTTATGTCCAGACTAAACATGTGACAGAAAGCAACAAGTTCGATTCCCAGCACCCACACAGTGTTTCACGACCATCTATAACTCCAGTGCCAGGGGATCTGATGCCCTCTTCTGCCCTCCGCTGGCACCAGGTACATACAAAGTATACAGATACAGATGCAGGCAAAAGTTAAAAACATATTTATGGATATTCCATTCTGGATAAATCTGTGGAAAGGGAAGCACACCCCAGTCAGTGGTATGTCACTGTAACTGTTACCAAGGACAGTCAACTTACTAAAGAAAAAGTGCCTTTCGGCTCCCAGTCTTAGAGGTATCAGTTTGTGACTAGTGATCAATGTGAGAGAACTTATCAGAGACCCCAGGTAGGGGTGGCTAGGAAGCTGCCAGAGAGAATAGGTGTGGTTTGCAGGATGATCAAAGACACAGGCCGGGACATCGTGTGACGGACAGTCTAGGCTGCAGCAAGTGCAAGCTGAGAAGAACCAGAGCCTGCGGCAGAGGACTGCCCACCCTGCACCCTGAGAAGGCTCCAAATCTGTCTGGGGTCTAGTGTTTGGGGCTCCAGAGTGTTTCTCCTGTGCCTCAGGCGGTAGAGCATAAAGCCAGTGTCTTCTCTCTTATTCTCCCATACTGCCTTCTGGAGACAAGCAATATGCATTGTGTCATTACCCACTGACAGGGAACAAACTTTCTCAGGCGAGCTAGTGTCTTAACCAGGCAGGAACCCCTCCCTAGTTCTAAGGTTCTGGCCTCAGAAACTGGAGGGCTAGCTGAAGCTTGATTTACCTTTCCTAATCAATGAATGCTCTGTGTAAGTCATCAGCCTCTATGGTGGCTGGTCTGCACCCCTAGCCTTACTATACCTCTCTGCCCAACCTCAGTGTGGTGGGCTCCCCTAGGCAGGCACTGTTTGCCTCTTCCTATGAATTCCCGGGTCAGTCCAGACTTAGTATGTCAGAAAGGGACCTCAAGAAGGTCTCCCCACCATCTAGAGGCTGCTGCTAAAATCTAAGGATGCTGGCTGGGGTGAGGTCCACATCCTCCTGGGTCACTGGTACCAGCAGAGGATAAATGACCAGAGACAGCCATTGTATGGCAGAGGAAAGGGAAGAGCATGCGCTCAGAGTCAGTGAGCCCTGTGCTGCTATGGGCCTTCTTTGCTGGACCCACATTTGGCTGCAGGAACTGAGGCCCCACATATGGAAGGCTGAGGCTCTTGCCTGTGAGGCCCAATTGCTGCAGAGGCTGGTTCTTGTATGTGTGGGAAAGCTCCCCATTTGTCTCTTCCCTCAATGTATCCACTGGAGCCCACTGTCTCTTCTCATCAGCTCTGAGCTGCTAACTCCTCCCTGGACAGCATGGGCCTGCCATTCACCTGGGCTTCACAGCCCAGCTACCCAGTGAACCATGAAACAAGATGAAACCGTTGGGCGTTGCTAAGGAGACTGGCCCATCAGAGCAAAGGCCTCAGCTGGCTTCACTAAGTCCCATGTCTGGCTACATGACCATGTATACAGACACATACCCTTAGGCAATTGTGGAGGACTTCACAGTCACTGTGTGGGTCTTCCCCAATGTAGCCTGGAATCCTAAAGCCACTCACATTCTATGGGGCTGGAGTTAAATTCACAGCCTAGCTTCTAATAGGCAGACATCTCTGCAAACATTTATGAAGCTGGAGAGGGAAAGGCTATAACTTTCCTCAAGCTCTCTACGAACCAGCCCAGATCCTGCTGAGGCTCAAGACTCCTCTCAGCCTCTGGACCCAGGAAGAAGGCAAGTGCTACAGCTGCAGGACATGACAGAGAGCACATCCACACAGGACATCCGTGATGGACACACATGCAAGGCACATCACTGATGGCCAGAGACACATACACTGGGCTGTGTTCACCCTTCTAATATCGTGAGAAATGAATACTATTACCTAGTTTGAAGAATTCCAGGGTGGCCCTGGTGGTGTGTGGCTGAAATCTCTCCACTAGGGGGACTAAGACAGGGGGCAGCAAGTTCGGGCTTACTACATAATGAGGCTTTGTCCCTGTGTCCTCCCCGCTACCCGCCCCCCCCCCCAAGAAAAATACTTGTAAGAAAAAAATATACATCGAAGCTTGTTTATTCAGACACTTGGAAGTGCTCTTACATGGACTGGCAAAGGTTTGAACACACATTGGAAGGCAGGGTCTCCATCAGCTCCAGTCCTTTGCCCTCACTGGGTCCCAAAAATCTCCGCCCCCAAGAAGCTCCCCAGCCCCTTAGAAGCATTCAAAAGTGGCCTGAGGACATTGCTAGGACCAAGCCTTGAGAATACTACCTTCCCTTGTACATATCCCAAACTCAGGAAGAGTCCACACCAGAATCAGGGCTGTTTAGGGCTTTCGGGTACTGCACAGCCGCTAACTGACAGCTGCCCACTGTCCAGATACATAAACGCAGGTGTGTCCCCTCTTATGTGGCCAGAGCTGATTCAGGTCTCATCTGTGCTGTCCCAGACAGGAAGCAGGCTGCAGGCCTGGGCCTGTGAACTGGCCTGTATCCATCTGCAGTCTCCAGGCCAGGCTTCTGCCTCCCTCTGAGGAGCTCCTCTCTCCAGGTGTCCCAGGGTGCTAGCCAGGCATGGTCCAACTCAGCCCTAATGTGGCCAGTCTCAGACATCCCCCTGTTGCTGCTACAAAGAGGAAGTTCTAGGCCAGCAGGGCAGCAGCCTGCTAAGAATAAGGACTGAGACCCAAAGGTGCACTTTGCCTGGAAGGTGTGCCCTCCCATCCAGCCTCGAGCCTCCTCCCCACCAACCTCCCCTTGGGAAAGGGACAAAGCTGAACCCAGGGTTCCTGACAAATAGCAGTGACACCTAGACCTGCCATCTGTTCTTAGGCTTTCTGGCCTCAGTCTCCCACTCTGTGGCACTGGGTGAGTGGTAACTATTGCCTACTCTGTGGAGGATGGAGAGGTAGGGGAGCACTCAACCATCACCTAGTACAGAGGAGGACTGTCTCAGCTCCCTAGGTTGGAGTGGGCTACATCCACCAGAGCAAAACTACTTTCTGGACACACACAACCCTTAGGCACCCCCAACAGACTGTACCATCAAGAGCTCATGGCTCAGGTACTGGCGACCCACCTCCCTTTCTCCTGTTCAGTTGGAATAGAAATGAGCAGTCCCCCACAGGCCATCCTCAGCCAGGACTCCAGCAAATGTCAAGGGTGCCCGAGGCTTCCTTCTCCCCACCCCCCTGTCACACTGGGACTCAGAGGATCACAGAGTGGGGTATTCCTGGGTGCTGGCTCAGGCTGAGGAGTCGGGCGGCTGCGAGCAGGAGGGCACCACTGAGTGCCTCTGAGGCACAGGAGCCCCAGGCCAGGGCCAGTGACCAGCCGAAGCTGATGTGCACGCTCTGCACACTCTGCACGCCATACAGGTGCGCGGCCTCCACGAATGCCAGGTGTGAGTAGCTGATGTAGACACTGAGCCCTGCCAGGGTCAGGGCACCTGGGGGGAGAAGGGTGACAAGACCTCTCAGTGTGTCACCCGTAGACCCAATGTTAAGTTTCCCCTCCCCTCCCACCTTTGCCTGAGGACAGGCACTTAGAGTAGCGAAACTCTTGAGTTTTAAGGGATGGAGTGTTGGGGGGTTCCTATACAGTCCTCCGCCCTCAGACCTCACCTGACAAAACCCGTTGTAAACAGCCCTGGGGCTCAGTTACATCAGAAAAGGGCACTGCAGCCTGCACTACCTGGCCTCTATCCACTCTAGCCCTTGGGCAGTGTTGGGGTGAGGTGGGGTGGATTTCTAACTGCCTGCAGCAAAAACCACAGGTTTAATCTGGGAAAGGATGTGAAGCAGAATCTAATGGCTTGTACTCTGGGGGAGGTAGGGGCAGCATCAGCACCCACAGTGGACCATCCACACTTTCAGGCTTGCCTAAGAGCCAGCACAGCTGGGGTCCCCTCACCTGCAGTGCCCAGCTCCCTGTCTCTCTGCCTCTTACAGCACATCCCCCAGCTGGTCCCTGCACCCTCAGCTGACAACTCTAGATCCATCTGCCTCACCTCCTGACATCTTGATTCAGGGAACCCTGGTCTCTCACCTCCCTTCCCTCTGAGGGCAAGGTGCCCTCTGCCCAGGAAAGTGGAGTCAGCCTCGCCCAGAAGCTACCTTTGGACTCTCTACCTGTGTCAGTGTCTTCACACAAAGAAAAAATGCAGAGGCTCCATGTCGCCAAGAAGTTTCTCATTTATAATCCTAACCCATTGTGGCTGTCGGTGGCTCCCCGTGGTGGCTTCCCATGGCTTCTTAATTGGATTTTGTACTCACAGTCTCCTGGGTCAAGGCCATGGCAGATATTTTGATTACCCTGATTTTCTTCTCTAGAGACCTGGGTCTGAATGTCTGTCTCATTAGTTTGTAGCTGTGGGCTCCCCATCTCAGGATCACCCCACTCCTAACAAAGGTCTCCTGAGGAGCCCAGTGTCCCCTATAGGGAAGCAGGCTTGTCTGGGAAGGGGTGCAGCCCTGGCTAATCTCATCTTTGTGCTCACAGCCAGGAGAATACAACTGGCCTGAGCCGACAGACCTGCACAAACCTAGCCCCAGCAATAAAGGCTGCTGAGGACTGACCCCTGTGCCCACCTTAGATGACAGCCAGCCTAGATGGCTGGGACAGACAGTACCAAGTACTCAAGGGGACCCGAGCACCAGTGTCCTTCTGGTTCTGGAAGCTGTGGGTCTCTAGCCTGAGAAAGTGGCCCTAAAGGGAGGTCAGCCTGGTGCTGTGACTGGTTACAGCCTGGGACTAGGGAGGTAAAGGCCAGGACATTATGGCTCTGCTTGTCCAGCTCTGTCTCAACACCTGCCTCCTGGTAGGAGGAGCTGCTGGGCCAAGACCCATAGCCCTCTTCTCGTAACAAACGTATGCCCACAGAGCTAGTCTTGCAGTCACCATGGAGAACCTCAAGTCTCCCAGGCCAAGAAGCTCCACTCTGGTACTCCTGTGTATCCAGGCCCCAGCCAGACACCCAGCCACTGGGCCAGCCTTAGCTTACCTCTGTTGGGAATGGGGGAGTAAGCTCTCCAATGCTCAGAGGGGACCAGGGACCAGGGTGGGGATTAAGCGAGTGAGGGCCCCACTCCAGGATGATCATCCCTCCAACTCACCCCCTAGCAAGAAGTAGCAGCCGGTGGCCAGCAGCAGGGGGACACTCTGGGACAGGGAGCTGAGCAAGCCGCAGACCCAACCACACACGATGAGGACGAGGCTCAGAGGCAATACTACCATGACTGTCCGATGCAGGGCTGTGGGAAGAGGGGCTCAGGGGCGGGAAAGGGGAGGACAGAGGGGCGGGAAAGGGGATACAGAGGGGCGAGCATAGGGGCAGGAAGAGGGCCTGCCTCCAAGGAGGAGCCAAAGATAGCCGTGCCTTCACCTGTTCCGGTCACTGGAGCAGAGGTTCAGCAGATATCTATCTCCCTAGGGACTACTAGACCCTCCCAGTGGCCACCCTATTCTGGTACGGGCTTCCTGAAGTCAGGATGAGAGAGGATCGCCAATGCTCTCCCCTCTCCAGTCTCAGGCCTCTCAGGGAGAGTAGGTTGTTGATGGCCATCCAACTGAAAACTGGCCAGTCCAGAAGGGACTTGGTGGGCCCCAGGAAATCCAGTCATGCTCTGAGGTAGCTCACATCCTCAAAGGCAGAAGTAGGCTCCACTGAGAAGGACCTGAGGTAAGGGAGGGCAGAGCGGGCTGGGGTTCCAGCATCTGTAATCAGAGGGCTGCGATGGAGACACCCTCTGGGCCCAAGCCTCAGAAGCAGTTTGTGGGCTGGGATGAGGTAGTTGGGTCCCAGACCTGCCTGAAGAGTCAGAGATGGCACTGCACTGCCCCAGGACTCACAGAGCAGGTGCTGTATCGAGGGAGAAGCTTCCAGGCCGGCACTGGTAAACGAGTCAATCAGGGGCACACAGCTGTTCTGCCCTGAAAGCCAAGGTACAGATGGAGGCCGGGCAACTCGGGTACCATAGCCTCCAGACCCAGTTTAACTCTTGAAACTCAGGGTTATGGCTCTGAATGGGACTAGAGACTAGACCTCTGATTTAGTTAAGGGTCACAGAAGGTCATACCTACAGGGAAGTGAGTTTAGAATCTCAAACATTCAGAAATGCCCAGATTGGGTCACCAAAAGAGGAGATGCCACATTCTGGAGTCTCCCTGACTCATGTTATATGGAATCTCTGGTTCTTACACATGACCACACACACATAAGTACCTACACATGTGTGTCTGCCGAGCACACTCACATAAGTACCTATACATGCATGTCTGCCGAGCACACACACATACATCTACACATACATGTATGCCTAGGACACACAAGGTTTATGCCAGGTAGATGAACAGCTGATCTTTCTTCCCCAGCACACAGAGGACCCCACCATCACATGTACGTTTACACATACAAGTTTGCTCACAGCTGTGCACACACATGTGCACACAGACACAACCACACACACACACATTCACACAATCATATATTTATCTTTGCCTTTCGTATTCACACAACCTATATCCCTTCACACACAGTACTGTGTGCTCACACTCTGTCACTGTCACAGTCTTGACGCCCTTTTGCAAGGGAAACATCACGCTGAGGGGTGAAGAGGGGGCCTTGAGGGGCAGCAGGGAGCCTGACATAGGAGACACCAGCCCCTGGTCACTTGAAGGGCTGTGGTTTTCTATGGGGTCCTAGTCATCCATGCCTATGCTTCCTCCCTCTCCCCAGCCCCACAGCCCCTTCTCTAGGAAGGAGTCAGGGTTTCCCTGGTCCCTGGACGACAGCGCTTACAGGAGCGGCAATCGATGACTGGGCCCTGGCGTCTGGGACCCACCCTCTGGTGCTTTTCTTCCTCTGACCTCCATGAAGGCACCTAGACTTAGAAAAGCTAAAGAGTTACAAACTATCAAGTTACTCAGAAGCAAGGAGCGGGTTCATGGCTCACCTGACCTGTCATCTCTCAATGGCTTCCCAACTCTTCCCGGCCAGGCCTTAAAGAAAAGCTCTTCAGAATGTAAGGAAGCATGGTGTTAGCACCCCTCTACTTCCCAGCCATAGCCACGATGGCAACAGCCCATCCCTGAGCAGGGACCTTCTTCCTCACACCCCTCCACACCCCAGCTGTCACCCAGCAATTTGAGGGGAGACCGTGATGGAATGGAACTGAGAAACGAAACCCCCTGAGAAATAGATGGGGCAGGGGTAGAAATAGGTGAGGTGGAAGGGGAGCGGGACCAAGGGAGTCTCTGGGTGTAGCTCACCTTCACAGGTGCGCCAGAGCCCGGAATGCGAGGAGAGCTGCACGCCGCCGGGGCCGCCAGCGTCCGCCACCTCCAGGATGTACCAGTAGTCGCTGGCGACGGCTGCTGCCAGCAGCGCAAAGCTGATTAAGGCGCCCAGGGCGGCGCTCAGGAGCAACGCGGCGAGCAGGGCCATGTGAGTAAGAGACCGGCAGCAGCTCAGGATGCAGGGCTGCGTGGATAGAGGAGCTAGGGACTGGCTGCACAGGGTGGCAGGGAGACAAGAGCTGTGGGCTGGGAACAGTCAGGGCTCGGGACCGAAATGAAGCAGGCTAGTGAAGGTTTAGGCGAGGGGAGGGGCGGGAGCATCAGCAGGAGAGGGCATGGGAGGGGTGTTGCGGAGCGGGCTGGCTGGAGGCAGAGGTAGGTGGAGGACAGGGGCGTGGGAGAGATAACGTCCTTGGTTCTTCTGTGACCACTGCATTTCTGCCACCGCACAAGTGGCCAAGTTTGCATGGAAATGGATCACCTTTCTGTGCTGGCCAGACAGTAAGGGAAGAGAGGGAAATCTCAGGTCATGGCAGAGCTGGAGACAGTAGATTTGGGCTCAAATCCCAATGATGTCACAAACTAGGCATGGTGCTGTGTGGTGTTTGGGAAGAGGTCCAGAGGTGAGTCTAAGATGCCTCTCCCCCGCCAAGAATGTGTAGCAGCAGTCAGCAGCTGGACCACTGCACCAATAGCTCCTAGAATGGAGGGTTGTGGAGGGGCATGGGTGATAGACAGATCCGGCTGGACACATTTAGGGAAGACTCAGGGTGTGACACATCTCAGCATGGGGTCCTGGTTTCCATTAGTTCCGAGGACCAGTGGGATAAGCTTCCCCCAGCTGGGAGAAAAAGGCACAGCTTCCGAGTGTAACTCACTTTCAGGGCACACACACAGACCCCTTGAGGACAGGAGTCAGATGAAGCAAAGGAGCAGCGAAGAGGCCAATCCAGGAGGAATCCAGGCAGCAGAAGCTGGGTGAGCTGGGTTCCATTGTGGAGAATGGGAGGACCTCTGAATCACTGCCTCTGGGGTGCACAGAGCCTAAAGAGGAGGCCCAGGTGGTCTTTCTAGGACACCAGAGCTTTGACACTTAGGTTGACCAAGCCCCTTTCTTGGATTATTTGGGGTCTCTCTATTATATATATTTCTCTCTCTCTCTCTGCTAAGCTCTTGGCTTGAGGAATATAGTCCAGAGATAAAAGCAATTTTAGCAAAGTTATTAAAACAATATTTCAAGTGGAATTCACCCATTGAAACCACTGAAGCAAGCACAGAATTCTTCCAGGATGCTGCGAGCAGTTCTCTTTACATGTCCACCAAGCCATCCCCAGCTGTGTGACAACCTCTCTGGCTGGCATTGTTCTGCAGACACCCCTGCTCTGGAACCCAGTGGGTGCTCAGAGCTGTAGCCCTCCCAAGGCAGGAGGAAAGAGAGAAGGGAGACTCCCATCCCAAATTGATTACAGCTGAGGAATGACCACGAATCATGTAAACTTGAGGTCACCTAGCAGTTACCCCACAGTGTATCAACATGACAACAGTCAGTCTTGCTGTCTGTCAAAGGCTCCTTTCGTAGAAATCTAAACTGAAGTGCTGGTCTGGCCCCGCCTCCCTCTCACTGAGCCCTGTCCTTGAGCTGGTTTGGGAAGTTTCCTGTTCTTGCTACAGCTTAAACAAGTCCAGTGCAGCTGTCAAGATAGACAATAGCCATGCCCAAGGCCATTGCTTGGGAGGGGGGGCAGTGAAAGCAAGAGGCATCCCCTTCACAGCACTAATCCCCTCAAATTGAAGGGCTAGACGGTGGCCTGCTGGGCAGTCTGTACCCACTTCATTTTCAACCCTGGGTTCTTTAGGCAGCAGGTGCTGGACCCTGAGGGGTTGCCCTAATGAATTTTGCCAGTGTTCTTCCCTGAATGGCCTCCAAAAGACACGGGGCCCAGTCTGAGGAGATGCTACCTTAGAACTACTCTGTATTCATTAGATGTTGTGTCATCAGTGTGTAAGCTGTACTAGGCAGGCTATGTACAGGCAAGTCTCTGGCCTGCTGCAGGGGCTCTTCAAAGCCAGCATAACCCATCATCCCAGATGTCAAAGAGGTGACAGAAGTGAGCTTCCAGAGGAAGATGGTCCAATCCTGAGTGACAGAGGCAGGTCTGCATCAAAGCCTCTGTCTTTAACTAGGTCACGTTTGCTGGACAGAGTCTGTGTCTACTGCCAGGCATGCAGCTGGTGAACTTCCTACCCCAGCCTAACTCTGACTATTGCCTCCAGCCTGAGTCTGGGGAAGCAGCTGGAACCGTCAGCTAAATTATCCTCCAGCAGCTCGGCATCAGCTGTCTGCCAGCTAAGTTTACTGAGCATGGTAAACATCCTCCCGCAGATTACCCTCACACAAACCACTGTCCAGTGGGTCCATCCATCCACCCAGCACGCAGGATGAAGCTGGCTACGTCCAGCAGATGCAAGACAAAAATAAATAAGTAATTCTAAAGTGCTCTCTGGAGTTGGAGAGCATAGGCTAGAAACACACAGCTTTTCATCTTACTTGGATGAAGCAGGGCTGCAGCCAAGGCTCTGTACTCACATGCTGAGGAGGTATTATTGGATGTGACCATGGCAGTAACTGGACTGGCAGGTAGCACCAAACCAAGTGGAACCCACAAGTCTGGGAGGCTCCACGCGCAGAGCTGGCCACCACTGCCACCAGCTTACACACACACACACACACACACACACACACACACCAGACTGCACTTGCAGGGACCAGAAGGCACACCTCTCTCCTGCTGGCAGCTTCTGACAGGAACCTGAGGACTGGTTGTTCTGGATGCACTCAAGCACACAGAATGTCCCACTTTGGGGGTGGAGACCCAGATTGGTCCCTCCCTATTGAGACCCAGCAAGTCCCATAGACTGAGCCAGTGGGCAGGAAACTCGAAGCTATGCTGGTTCCTGACCTTATTCAGGGTGATTTTTGCTCATGTGAGACAGGAAAGTCCCCACAGTGTCCACTCAGTGTCCTCAGTGGAGGAGCTGGCCTCCTGTCAGGCCGGCCTATTTGCACACATGCCTTGTCATCCCTGACTGGGACCTAGCTCCACCCGGGCTCAGACCTTGGCGCTTGCCTGTGGCTTTGAGGAGCTGTTTAGACACAGGTCTTTGTCACTCACACCTGTGTTGCTTAGCTCTGCTTTCCTCTAACTCCTCTGCTCCGTCTCTGATTTCTGTGGTAAGGTGGGAATGGTCCCAGCTCCTAATGTTGTACAGGGGTTCCCTATTTTGCTTGAGTTACTGTTGCACAGAGCTGTCCTAAGCCCTCAAGGAGGCCACCAGAATGTGTTAGGTGGTTCTGGAGAAAGCCAGGCCCCGGCTATCCAGAGCGGTGAAGTGGTCGCCCAGGAGTCATCTAAGTGTGCACAGGTGCACACACCACTGCCACTGGGAAAGTGCAGTGGCCTGAATCCTTTACACATGCTCGGTGTGAGCCTAGGCCTCGCTGGACTGCTGCCTGATATGAGATGGTCAGTTTGGTTTGCCAGTGTTCTTCCATAGAGTTAAACTGCAGGCAGGTCACTCACCCTGCTGGGAGCCTCAGCAGGTCACCTCAGCTGTCATTTCTAACTCTGCTTCATACCTCCTGGTTTTGAAGATCTTACTAACTTCCTGTGCTAATCCTCCTGCAGGACAGGAACAGAGCAAACCTGGACTCTGGCAAAAGCTGCTAGAGCCTCATGGAGCCCTCTGTCAGCATGGAGGGCATAGCATGGCTGTGAAATCCGGACCTGCCTGATTGATTCCACCATGTCAGTCACAGTGGGCTGGGCTTTGCCCCACATGCTTGGAGAATAGTCACATGGCTTGTTTGTAGCCCAGGCTGACCTCAACCTCCATATGTATAGCTTAGGGTAACTTCGAACCCCTGATCCTTTAGCCTCTGCTTCCAAAGTTCTAGGATTACCAGTGTGTAGCATCTCACCCGGTGTCTTAGCGTCTGTTGATGTTGTGATAAAATACTCTGACAAAAGCACCTGGAGGAGCAGTTACATGGGACGTCAGGGTCGCAGGAGCTTGAATCGGCTGGTCAGTCAAGAAACAGATGCCCTGATGCTCAGCCCCACGTCATTTAGCGCAGGATCCACCGCAATCAAAACTACCCCATCTTGTAGGTGATTAAACTGACAGCACTGTCCCTCACACTCGCCTTGCAGAGGAAGTCCTGTTCCATGTGAGTCACGTTGTCATCCCAGTGTCCCTCACTACTGTTCAGTTCTGCAGCTCGGGCTGGGCCTGAAGCTTAGATGCCACTGAATCTACAACCTTAACACAAAGCAAACAGTACTACTGGGAGCAGTGGCACAGGCCAGGACCTGGGAGGTGGGGCAGCAGGATCAAGTTCAAGGCCAGCCTTAGCTATAGAGTTCCAGGTCAGCCTGGACCACAAAAGACCAAAAAACCAAACAACCCGCCGGACAGTGGTGGCGCATCTCTTTAATCCCAGCACTTGGGAGACACAGGCAGGCGGATTTCTGAGTTCGAGGCCAGCCTGGTCTACAGAGTGAGTTCCAGGACAGCCAGGGCTACACAGAGAAACTCTGTCTCAAAAAAAGAAAAAAAAAAAAAAAAAAAGCCAAACCACCCATTCCTCCCAGACAGAAAGAGCTTACAGTCCACTTTCTCAAGTGATTTTATTCCGTTACCCCGTGGTAGGGAGATTGCTCAGCACAGAAGAATTATCAGCACAAACACATATAAACACACCTACACATGGGATGTGTCAAATGCCAGGCACGGAAACACTAAAACCAGAAAGACTTTGCACAGTCACCCGCAACCCCACAGGTCCTGTCAGAGAACACTGTCCCCTCGCTCACTCACTTCCTCATTGCTTAAGTCTAGGTCACAATAGAGCAAAGCCACAAAACCAAAGAGAGGTAGCCACATAGGCTGAGCCACTTTAAAGCAAATCCAAAAATATTTGATATTCAGTCTCAAAATGCCATTGTCTCCTTCTCTAGGACACTGCTAGGAGGCCCGGGCTGGGATAGCTGGGACGCGTGGCTTAGATGTGGGGTGTCACTCAGGTCCAGGTTGTCCCAGCAAAGGCTCAGCGCAAGGCAGCCAGCTGCTCAATTGACTGGCGGACAGTCTTTGCAGTCTCTTCAAACTCTTTCTGCTTGTTGTTGGTCTCCTTGGCCTGGAATGATGAACAGACACAGGGGCTGGAGTGTGGCCCAGAGGGCGGGGCTTGACTACAAAGGATAAGATGCTAGCTTCATCACCATCGTGACAAAATAACAAATATTATTAAAAGGAAAGTTATTATTTTTGTATTGCTGCGAATTGAACCTAGGGCCTCAGCCATAATAAGCAAATACTTACTGACCTACAAACTGCAACTTCTCTTCCTTGATATACTTTTTTGAAAACAGGATTCATATAGCCAAGGATAGCTTTTAACTTTCAATCCTCCTTCAGCCAACCAAATTATTTGGGATTGTACCCTAGGAATGTACCCTGTGGCACCAAGCCCGGGTTAGTGTTGTAGGATATTTGATCACATTGTGAACCCCAAGATTGTGTTGTTTATTGGAAAAATCTGTTTTCTAGTTGTGGTGTGGCTCAGTCCTTAACACTCACCTTTTATCTCCGGCTGGAATTCAGACATGCCCTTAGTATAGAGAACAAATGAGACACAGATGAAGACAGAACAAGCCAGAGAATGAGAAGGAGCCAGAAGGTTAGAACAGATTGCCAAAGGTAGTTTGAGGCCAAGCAGAGCAGTTCAGCAGAGGCTGAGAGAGAAGTCAGACTGAGTCAGTCATCTTGGGGAAGAGTTTGAGCCAGAACAGCTGAGTTGAATCAGCCAGCT